TCGTCCTGAGATTCAAAACTTCACTCTTTTTCCTCCATTCACAACAAAATTTCTGCTATTTCTTCAACAAGTCTTGAAATTTAACATTCTACTTTTTCAATGATGGTTGAAAAGCACTAATTAGATATATGATTGAGTGTGTGTGCAAGAGAAAGTACTCAATAGTTTCTTCATTATTCCGTTTCCTGATTCCCTATTTACTGCATTCTAATGCAGTTTTTTATTTTGATTTTCCAGACGCATATGGATGATATCCCAAATCTATTGTGTATGGGTTGAAGATTTTCTCCACAAGGTTTGTTTATGTATTTGTTGGATTTTTCATTCTACTAAAAAACATTGAACCCTTCTGGTATTTAGTTAAAAGTAGATGTATTTTGCAACTTGTTGCAGTTTAAGGATTACATAAATATGCAACAATTACTTATTGGACGTGGGGGTGTCATAATGCTGTTAACTGTGGTGAACTATCACTCTGCATTTCTCATGCTTGTTAATTTTCTCTACGATTTATTGTTTCATACCATAGCATTGACATTCCCTTGGCAATCTCTGTTCCAGCTTTTGTGACGAGGTTAGTTCAACGAGAAGACATCTCATTGGAGAATATTAATACCTCCCCAAAACCTAAAGACGTGGAAATCATGAAATTATCAGATAGCAACACTGATATTGAAGCGCACCAAGATATTTCTATTGCCAACATGAATTCTTGAGGTATTATGCCATGCAAATTCCTTATTTGTTCATCAAATTTCAATGAGACGCACTTATATACAAATGTCCATTGTCAACTTTCAATAATATTGACCAATATTTGCTTTGACATATTTTATTGATTGTTGTCCTCAAGATTGGGTCCTACATCTATTTGGATTGGAAGCACTTTATGTGACAATCCAATTGCTGCTTAGGATTTATATGTACGAAATCTGTTCACACTTAGGGTCTGTTTGATTGCAAAAGTAGAAAATGAGTGGAAAGAAAATGTTTTACAGGGAGTTGATTTGCCTAGAAATTATTTTACTGAAAATTATAATTAATTGTGTTTAATTGGTATAATTTTTATGGAAAATGTTAAAAGTTTGGTGTCCGTTTGGCTTCTTTTTTTATGGAAATTGTTCATTAAAGTGATAATGTTTTCTACTATTGGGTCTAGAATTTGTTCCAATGGCAAAAAATAAAATAAAAAAAAAAAATAATAACCATACCCAATACCATTCTTTTGGCTTTGTTTTGTATATAAATTGTCAATAAAAGTGAATTTTNAAAAAAATTGGAAAATATTTACCCACCAAAACATTAAGAACTTATTTTCCTCAAAAATGTGGAAAATGTGGAAAGTTAAAAAATATTTTCTCGGGAAAATTTTGCCCATCAAATACTATAAGGGTATGTTTGATTGCCAATATTTTCCATGGAAAATGTCTTTTTTCCATCCAAATTCTAACTTTTGTGCTGTTTGATTTGTATTATTTTCCATGGAAAATTTTTTCCTACTTTTTATCACGTGACTAGATTTTCCACGAAAATAAGGAAAATATTTTCTTAGGGTTGAGGTAAATTTTATTTTTCAGGCAATTGGTAATTAACTGAACACCCACTAATCACGTTACCCACCCTCTCTCTCTCTCTCGTCAATATTATCTCAAAACAAGGATTTCAACTTTCCTTCCCCAATTCGACACTGTGCTTCATCAATTCCATTGAATTATATTCTGGGCATTCTTGATTCTCGGCCAATCAATTCATAATCTTGGTATTTCTCGTTTTCTCTGTTTTAAGTATTTGTTTTGGATATTGATTATTTGATTTATCATCTAAAATTATGGGTTCGTTCATCCCTGAAATATTTTGTGTAATTGCTTGTACCGGGTTTTTATTTTTTGATTTATACATGTCAACTACTTTGGGTGGAATTGTGGGTTTTGATTAATTGTTAATGTTGTGCTCTGTCATTTCCTTTGGTTTCTATTTCTTCAGTTTTAGGCATCATTGAGCTTTTCCTTTGTTGTAAAATCATATTGACCACAAAGGAGAAAGTAATTGTCCCGTAGGATAAGTTAATGCAAATGAAAAAAATGCTATGCAACATATTATTGCAATTTTCATATCTGTGGTTGCTGGGGATCAGTTTTTTAGCTTGGGATATGTTTTGGTATAACTGGGTTGCTGGGGATATCATTGCCCTTGCATTCACCTATGGTGTTATACTATTCATACTTAAATTCTTGGAAGAAGCAGCGAAAATGGAGCTCTTCGACTTGGTCTGCTTTTATGTTCTTTTTCCTGCATTGAAATTACTACAAATTAAGAATACTAGAGTTTATTCATTTCTTATTACATGCATTCTTTGTTATTTATTATTTATCTTTGTTGTGAGGGATTAGAATGTACTTAGGAAGCTTTGTCATGTTATAATTGGACTAACTCTGATGCTATCACAACTGATATAGGATGACATCAATAATTATCCGCGTACGCTGGTGATTATAACCTCACAAAGTGAGGACAACTTGATATGATGGGATCAATAATTATTTATGATGGACATTGAAGTAAGGGTTACTTGATATGCACCCCTGTAAAGTACCACGTCAGAGGCCGTCGACCACCATGGGGAACTCTATATTCTCATGATAGACCG